GGGGAAATGAAAACGGACGCTTGAGTGGCACGGTTTATGATTAAAGATCCTAAGGTTTAATTGGATACATTCTGTTTCGCTCACGGGGTCTCAGGCGACCACTGTTCCATATTTAGCTACCCCTTTCTTGGAACGCTCGCAATTCGACCGCGGAAGAAGTAACGAATCGTAGAAACACACCGGCAAGCCGGTTGACGATCGTTCGCCGGAAATAGCGCGATTTTTCCGCCGTTTTTAATGCAGCCTCGCGGTACGGACAGCACCTGGCCACCGGCTTCGGTCGAGATTTGTCACGCCACGCACGGATTTATAGACGCCGGTGCCGAGTATATGCCGCCAGTTCATTGTTATTCATTGGCTGACGTAAATAACATCTAGAAGCAGCCGCGGTATCCCGTTAAACAAAGCGAGGAAGGGAAAATATGGAGGCGCGGGAATATTCATGCGACTAACCCTTCCTGCACTCTTCGTGACGCTGTCTTTCTCTACCGCCTGGATAATCTTTACTGATCTGCACAATATTCATCGGAGAATTCACGATATCGTCCGTACAATATTATTTCTCGTGCGTATCACGGATACAACATAATTCTGCACAATTCATAGGAAATTACACTAATTTAGTATAAACCATGCCTCATTAGAAATTTTCAAGCCGCATCGCTAGTCAAAATTCATTATCCTTACACCGAAATGCAATTGAAGTGGTATACAAACTATTAAATCCTGGTATTATACGTGCACAGAAATTTAGCTTGCACTCCGTAGAATTCAGATGTTGTTAATATTATCTAGGGGTTTTACCTGTTTTAACTAGTTCCGAATAATCCTCTACGTCCATTGACAACATACGTCGTTGTTCTCCTGCCGATTTCCATGATTCGAACTATATTTGTAAATCCATTCCTCTCAGATTGTTAATCAATAAAAAAAAGGGTGACTTGGAATTCAAGAAAGACATCGTTTCTTATGGTCAATTACGCGCAGCCCAATATCCTCGGATTTTTACGGTGGCAGCGATCCACGCCCCTTCAACGGACGATTTTCCTCCGGCCAGCTCTCTCGACCTGTCCCGGTACGTCATATATTGGATGACGTGCAATCGTATTTCACCCGGTGCCTCACACTTCCGGCCTAGCAGAGGGAGAGAAAGCGAGAGGAAAAGGGATAAGCCCGGAGGTCCGGCGAACGACTTCTTATCGGGTCGTCACGTACGCGACGACAACGTCGGGTTAAAGTGAACGTGGTTTTATATCGACGGATCGCCGGGGACGGCGTCTGCATAATCGCCGGCTGTTCCGCGTCTCCCGATGCTCCGTTCCACGCGTCATAAACACGTCCCGCTGAATCGAGGGACCTCTTCGCGCGCAATTTTCCATCCAGAGCAGAAATATTCCTGTTGGACCGGTGAAAAGGGGTGGAAATATTCGGAATCGATAAGGTAATTGACTCGATCGTGAGCGATATTAGAAGTCGATTGCTTTATTGTTAGCGTTCCTCGGAGGAACGTGCGAGTGCTTCCGTTGGATACCAATCGAATCAGGGGACTAAGAAAATATAAGTGAACCGCTTTCGACTGGAAGAATCATAATTTCAATCTAATCCGTAATACCCGGAAATATACAATACAAACACCTTGACTCTCCAAAATGAAAGCAAAGGAAAAGCGTCGGGTGTTCGTAGAACACTCACAGCTTAACTTCTTGAAATTCCACTATAGAAACTCGAAGAGTCCATCTGTCGAGACTTCAATTGATTTACAATTCAGTTCGTGTATTGTTACATTCATTTTTTTAATCGTTTCTCAAAGAAACATGTTATCATGTTAATAATTGTAACAAGAACGCAGGAGTGGGTGATTTTGCGTCTGGTAGTTCCGGTGTTAACACCAAGTAATTATTCACTCAAACCTAGTGTCAATCCCATGAACACAAGCCGATAAAAGGAATCAGTGCCCGAGGTGCAAACCAGTCCAACAGGAACAATGAATTCGTTTCTTTGAAGAATCCGCGACTCAACGCCCGAGCTGATTCCCTCTATTTGACGGTGAAATCTCGTTCGGCCTTAAGCCCAACAAAATTCGATATTACCGCGGGCGTCAGAGACGCAACGCGCGCGCGGTCTGAAAGACTGACGCGGAAATTGTCGGCTGACCTAATCTCAGCGGAGCTTTTCATCCGGCCCACGGAAAACTAGGAGCTTGCGGTTCATCGTGGCTGTTCTTGTCTTTGAGGGTTTTTCGGGGTGTGCGTGGAGCGAACCGACGAGCGCGCAACTAACCGCACATACACACACACACGAACACACACAGACGCATACAGAGGGAAATGTATCGTGCGTCTGGCTCACGCTACTTCCTAAAAGCTTCCAGCCCGATCGACCTAGCGCGACGTGTCTCCTCAGCGACGGGCCTCTCTCAGGCAAGAGAAGAATCGCGCGACGTCTCTGTTTACCGTGAGGAGAACTGTTTCATTAAGTCCACGTATTTGTTTGCAGCGAAGTTGGAACTTGATTGGACGATGGGGGTGTACTCCGGAGACATCCTATTTCGGTCGGGAAACAGAGGCAGCGCGGCGCCGATTGTGAAATTCTACTCTAATACCGTACGAGTTCTTCCTCGCTCCCTTTTCGACTATCAAATAGAACACTTCGCCGTCGCGGCAAGTGGTTCGCGCGAATATTTGTCCTATATTTTCTTCTCCCTCGTCTCCTTCTTCTTTGAACGCTGTATATCTTCTTATCGCGACGCGGTTCTACTTTTTCTTCAATCCCGTTCTCTTCGCAATAGCGCCGTATTATGTTTGATTTCCGTTTAAAACGGTTTTTACTGGCCCACCGACTCCCATAGATCTGCCGATCTGTTAACGTTCCATATTTTCCCGCGAAATAACAAATGTGTCGGCATTGTTTCGAAGGTATATAATCTGTGACGTAACGCAACAATTTACTTCGCAAAATGCCCCCGGTGATCAGATAGCACCAATAAAATATATACTCTTTACGATCCTGATATTCCCTAATAAAATATCGTTTAACGAGCGATATCTGGAATCAGCAAGTTCTGACTGAACGCGAACGACGTCTGCTGATAAATTTATGAGGCTTAACTGTTCAATCTTTATGGCGGTCATTGGAACGAAGTTGTCGCTTATGTGAAAAATAAGTGGGTGCCTGAAGGTGCTCAAGTCACTGTCTGTCGAGTAAATATTCCATTTTATTCCCGGCCGTATCGTTAATATTGGATCTTGCAGGATCAAAGTGAGATGCAGACGGTTCTTGCCAGGAATTTCGAAACTTAGACTGTAAATACTAATGTCCATCCGTTATTACGCGCGAACGTAATATCCCGTATCGAGAAAGTTGAAAATATAGAAGTTTCACGGTGGAACTTCGGAGATCAAAGGTTCGAGTGTAAATAGAAGCCATCGATTTTTCCACGAAGAGCGGAAAAGTGTTTGTGGTCAAGGTGAAGCTGTAAATGACACGGCCGGCTTGACTGGGCAGCACTGCGATAAAGTCAATACACTGAACTATGAACAGACCGTGGATCTTCATGGTACTCTCTATAGATTTTCATGCACCACTTATAATAGAATATTATCTAACGTATAATAGAATATTCTATTTGAAACAGAAGAATCGATTCATCCTATTAAGCTTTCCATCGAGCACGATGTAAAGCGAGAACTCCGCGAAACTTGCAGAAATTCTCGATAACGTCCAGAGAATCACGGGAGCTGCAAATGCATAAAATCCGCAGTTTAATTATCGCGGAACGGGGTCGTCGTAGACATTTTCTAGAACTAGACCGTGTCCCCGTGGGGAAAGTTTATTACATCCTTCGCGAAAAGGAATAGAAAGCTTCTAACTGAGTTATAATTAGTAACTAGCTGGAAAGAGTTCGATAATTGCGAGGTCGAAAGGTGGAAGAGCTGTTTTGAAGGGGTCTATTAGTACCTTGCTAACCAGTTTAGCCTTTTTAGATCCCCGATTGCCCGGGAAAAGGAAGCTCGCCGAAGAAACTATCCAGCGAACGCGCCGCCACGCACACGCGCGACGAAAAATTCTATAAAAGCCGGCCAATGCTTGCGATCGCGCGGAGGGAACCGAAGACAGTACAAAGTCGCGTCTTTCGTTCTCCGTTCTTTATTCCTGCGCATTTAATTAACGTCTCTCAAGGTGGCGTGTCCCGTATCGTAGACGCAAATGAACCAATTAACTTATTTACCCGGATAGAACGCGGCCAAAGAAAGCTTCGCGCGGCCAACATTCGCCGTCTCATAAATTAAACGTTCCAACCGAGCCATCCCGGTGCGTTCAACTAACGCCACGTCCCGCCGAATCGATAAAACACGAAACATTCCATTCGATTACTTCAAATTTTAATGCGACCGCATAAACAGGAACGCGGGGTTAATACAGTTCCCGCCGCCAAAGGCGAACGTTTCATTCAATTCCGCGCACCCCGCGTTTCCGTCCGAAAATTCCGTGCTCCATTTTATTATCTCGCCTCGCGCGCCTCGCCATATCTCTCTCCCCGACGAAAAACCGACGAAAAACAGTGGCCCGAACGGAATTCTTTTTTTCTCCTCGGAAAACACTGGCCCGCGTCGTTCCACCTTACAGCCCCCTAAATTCGCAGGGGTTGGATTCTTCCGTACGGTCAAATCGCCGGAGAACTCGCGAGACGGGGAGAGTCGAATGCCCATCACTACTCACCCCGTTCTCCGTCTCTCTCGGTCTTCCACCCTTTCTCCTCTGTCTCCGTTCTCCCTCTTCCCCTCTCTTTCACTCCCCCTGTCCGGCTGGATCGTCGGATCCCGTTGAGCGTCGCCCACGCCTCGCCCCCCGCGTAGACGGTTCAATCGAGCCTCGTCCCACCGTCGTCGGCTCTCTCGCTCCCTCCATAACGTCTCGTCCGCCCGCCCCCGCGTACGTCGCGCGCGCGGCATCCCGGCTCCACCGCTCCCATCTCGTCGGAGGCTCGCAGTCCGCCGGCGACTCTTCAATGAGAACGACGGCTGCGTGGCTGGCGCGCGGCGTTCTCGCACGGGTGTCACGTTTCCGTCGACGGAAATAAATGCGAACGGCGAGTGCGTGGCCGTCGCGACCCTCAGCGACCCTGCTCCGTCCCGAGGCGCCGCGACACCGCGAGTGAGTTCTCCTTCTTCGTCGTCGACGTCCGCGATCACTCGCGGGATAACCAGCCGGCGAATTTTTCGGAGCGAGTCCGAGGACCTCCGGTGCCGAGGAACGATTCCCGAAGGGGTGGCACTGGTGAACGCCGATCGGATCATTCGGTACGCTGATCGTTCGATGTTTTGGACCGTTGGCGGGCTGTCTCTGGCCGGCTCGCGGGGACCGGACCAAAGGGAGGGAAACCGAAACTGATTCTCTCGTGGCGATGTTTGAGGGTGGTACGATTGATCTGGAGTTGATGGACCCTTTGTAGACACGCCGGACCGGAGCCTGTGCATCGCGGCTATTCTGGACGTGTATTCGGAATCGCTGCTGGAGTACAGTGCGCGGGAGATTTCGGTAATATTTGCGGGAGACGTTGCGGTTTCGATTTTCGAGTGTCTAGTAATAAGAATTTTAGGGGTTGACGGCAGGAGTTTTCATCATTGTCGCTCTGACGTGGATCGTATGTATACACGTTTCACGTATGCGGAGCGGAAATTGTTAAAATGTTTCTGGTTCGATGCGAGCGGAGATGAAACATCGTAAAACATTTCTGTCGCTGTGCGTCGGAAGGGGTGGGGGTGGGATCGGGGACCTCTGAGATATTCCTCACCGCGGTCGGAGACACCGGTAGTCGAATCTAAATTTAAAGTGCGCAGAGTCGCGTTTCAAAAACGTTTGAACCTCGTTTACCTACGAGGGAGCGGCGAGAGCTGCTTTAATAAAGGAGCCCAGAAGGGGTTCGGGGTGTAGAGAGCTGGGTGGAAGAGGGTGAGCAGTAGTTCGCGAGGAATCTAACTTGCGGGGGACTTTTAATCTCGTGATCCGTCGGTCCGTATCAGTCTCGAGGAGGGGGACGCGTCCGTGTGTTGCGCGAAAACGCGCAACCCTCGTGCTTCGGGGCTGCCTTTGCCCGGCGAGGGCGGCGTACGCGCGCCTAATTAAATCATTTCCACTGTGCTTTTATCACAGACGTCTGCGCTGCGAGATCCCCGCACCGCCTACAAAAAGACAAATGTGACTTTAATCCCTCGAAATGTTGATTAACGGTGCCCGCCGCCCTTTGTGGCGCGCGAAGGGGGATTATGTTGGGACAACCTTGTATCACTTGTAATTAGAAAGAAATTATTTGACGTCCGGCCAGTTTTTCAGTTGCACCCGAGGGAAGTGTAAACTTTTTAAACAGCTTTCATAAATATACAGATTATTCGTAAAAACGTTCTCCCTTTCGGGCGTTGAGCGGCAGCTTTGAGAAATTATGCTTTACCCGATGCGTTGAGTGTGTGTCTGTATATCATGTTTGCGAATTTATATTTGAACGAACGAATAATTTCGAATGGGGTGTTCGTTTAGAATATTTAAAGGTTCGTCGAACTTCGTAATGGTTTCAAGATAAAAAACTGTTCACTATAGAAAATTTCAAATTCCCGTAGATGCTTTAAATACTAGAAATCTGCAGTTCGCGTACAGAAGGATCTGTTCGGAAATTTTTTCTATTCTTCGGGACAATTCGTCGACGTTCGCGGAAAGTAAACGGTGAACAGGTATTACAGGAAGTTCGGTGACTCAAAAAACACGAGCGTTTATCGGGTTTACGGGGAAATCCGTGAGATATTCGCGCGGGCTGTTGAGGGAAGGAGTGTGTTCGAAGTGAAGTGACTGAGGAGTGAGGAGGTTTTTGAAGTTTCTGGCTCAAAGTAAGTGGTTCGCGTCGGTGCCGGGCGGCCGCCCGTTTGATAAAGGTAAGAGTATCCGGGCATTCGGCAAACAGAAATCCGCGAGAGGAGCCATTTAGGGAAAAAAATCCCGGGGAAAATGCCGGTCGCGGAGCGCGCGGTCGTTCCCCGTGAATCGAAAGGAGCTCATTCGGTTCAGTTAAAATGGCAGCGTCCCGGTCGTTATATGCGTTTCCTCGCGCGGAAGTGATTGGAGGTGACAAATGAGGCGCCAAACTTCCGCGTCAACCGGCTGGCACGCTTTTCCGAAACAAATCTCGCGTTTCTCCCGCCGACCTCCGCGTTCATCAGTCCCTTTGCGAAGCGCCGCGACCGATAAAATCTGCGATCGCAACGATCCCCCGCGATCTTTCGAAAAATATCCAATGATATTTCCGTTTTTCACGACTCCCGTAACCGGCGGTACGTGACCAGGAAAAATAACAACGAGTCCTCGGTCGTTGTTTGAGCACACACGCGAACACTAGGTCATCTCTGCGACGCGTACGGGCAACTATAAAAATAAATAAAATAAACGCGCGGGTGTCTGCAATCCTGTGATTTAAAGAAACGCCTCGATATTTCCCGACATCGCTGTCAAAGGAATATCGACAACGCCTCGTCCCCCGTGGAACGTAAATATTTATACGCATTATTTGCACCCCAAACGTTGCAAGCGTCGCGTCACGTCGCGACAAACCTTCGTCCAACGGATACCGTTGCCGATCGCAGCGTGCACCGGTGCAGCTCG